TTCTCCCCCCCCCCCCCCCCCACTTTCTTTTATATCCAAAGGAATAATGACATGATATAATTTATTTGCTTTCCATTTCAGGATATGTTCGGATTTTATTAGTTTTGTTTGCCTTTTTATTTTTATCAAATACACCAGTATATTTTATAGTATTTTATATTATTTCTGCCTCATTAGATTGTAAGTAATACTTTCTTTTCTTTTTTTCTGTTTCTGCCATTTTTTTTATAAGAGCTAACAGTTTTCAACTTCCATAAAAAGTGACATTAGATTATAGCCCTACCTGTGGCAATTTATTGTGCTATGTCTGAGGAACTTGGTAATGCCAGATTTATCAGGCTACATAGGGCAGAACAGAACCTGTTGTCTTTGTTGATGAATTTTATAGCAGATACCGCATGGACTGGAGAATCCAATCATCCATATTGAATTTTCCAGATAAGGTTTTCCAATTTAGTGATTTTAGTGACAACAAAGTGATTTTATAATGTTTAATTCAGGTATAGATGGATATACAGCTAGAAAATTTCACCAGACTTCAAAATTTGGAGCATGGGTAGGTATAGGCCTAAATTCTTTCTTTAAAAAAAAGTTAGGCCCTATTCCAAAACACACAGATGTATCTGTATTAGGGGATTATAATTATACAACTCAGCTTTCAAATACATGGAGTGTTTCTTTTATTACTGACTTGGATTCTGTGACTGAAACATCCTGTTTCTCAATGCCGTCTGCAAAATACATAGTATTATTTAGAGTCAACATGTTGGTCTATGGACCAGCATCGAAATTCAATTATATCCATATTTAGTATAATGAATGAGGTCAGAACTGAGCATTAGTGTTAGTATTAAGATTAGTGTTAGAGTTAGTGCTAACCAAGTCACCATAACAGTGTAACACTTACAAAACACCAGCTTAACACACTTCACTTATGTTAAACTTGAACTCTGACCTCTGCATCATGTAAACCTCTTGGGGCTAGTGTTTCAGGGATATGAAAACTCATACTAAGCCAGTGTTCTGAAATGCTGAGTTGGGATGAGTGGAACACTAGAGTTGCACTAGATTAAAACTAGTGTTAAATTGTTCCCCAAATACCTACCAAAGTGTAGTGTTACCCAACACTTTGCAACAGGTCAAATGTTGGGGTTATGGTTACACTAGTGCTACACTTTTGCACTAATCTAACACTAACACTGAATTCTGACCTCACTCAATATATATGAAACATATACATATAAAACAAAGTCATTATAATCATTTGTCAGCATATTTGTCCTTTCCTTTCAATTTCAATATTTTTCTAATTTTAGTTTGATGTGATAATAGATTTATTTAGTCGAGGACTTTTATGGTGTTATTTAAGTCATGTAAGTAATTTTGTACTTAAACCTAGAAGATGCTGGATTCCAACCAAAAATTTTATACAAGGACTTTGGTTGACAAGGATCCTTTTTACCAGCTGGTTCTTGGCCAAACCTCTTGGAACTAATCACTGCCAGATTATCGGTACCCATTTATTGGGTCGAATGAAATAATGAATAAAGATGACTTATTTAGGGTCATTAGACTTTTATGCAACAACTGAGATAAGAACCTATGACCACAATTCGTTTAACGTAATCATGCAAAGGACGTCTTGTAATGGTTTCAACAGACTGTGCTATAGAACCTCACTTAAAGATGGGTTTCCTTAATTAGTGTTACTAATGATTTATCATGTATTCTTAATCATATCATTATGCATACAAATAAGAGTTTTAACCAATCATAAATGTCCATGTACATACAATCTGAATAAACAAAAACAAAAAAACTTTTGACCTTTCATGGTCACTCGGAATTCTGCTGGTAATTCTCTTCTAATATAGCTAAATATGAATTATGGACATGTGAGACAAACTAGTGTTTTTGCAAGTCATTAGAACACCTCTACTGTCTATTCATTTAAGTATTAGCATTTTCCTTTTCATATATGAAAATAAGGGAACCCAACTTTAAATATTTATATCATATATGCAATTCATATAAATGTTTATTTTTACAGTGGGGATATCTTATTATAATGGTTGAATGGATGACATTTGTTAGCACACATTCTAATAGAGGACCAAATTGGAAAGAAACTACCAAAGATTTTCCATTCATTGTTCAAAAAGTTATGTCTAATGGTAAGTATTTTAGGATACATTTAGATGTATTAAAGGGATTGTAAAGAGGTTTTCTAAAATTTGTATGCATATCTATGACACTGATAGCATCCATTTGCATCATTCCAATTTTCATTCCGACATCTGTGCTTCCTGCAATTCCACTCAAACTGTGAAACTAAAAAAAGTGTTTTATGACGTTTGCACCCTGGCAAAATTTGCTTTTTACAGAAATCTCGTTGAAAACTGTACAATATGTCACATGAAAGCCTAGCCAATACTTAGTTTCTGGACAAAAATTCAATATATCATGACCATGAAAATCTTGAAAGCCAAACTGAAAGTAGACCACCACATTTTATCAACATCTGCTTGAATGTCTCTGCACACAAAACGACTATTTTTTAGAATTATCCTTCCACATGAAAATCTCTTATCATCTCACAAAATATGAAAGAAAATTTCAGACATCAAATTCAACATCTAGACCAAAAATTAATCAAAATAGGCATGCAAAAACCAAAAATGGAGGGAGAAAGAGGATTTCTAAAAATAACACGGACTACATTCGTATACAATCATATGATATATAAAATGCTTTAGTGGCCCATATGTATGTTTCAGGTTTTCACAGTCCACTAGGATCTATAACAATAGCAGGGTTACATGTATTACCTATATGGTTATATGGTTTACAAGAAAATTTATTATATTTTATACCAATATATCTACAGTATTTTATATTACTTATCTTAATCATAGGAAGACTATTGTGTTTAAGAGTAGAGGTGAGCTATATTTTAAAATTGAAATCTTGAAAACTTGCTGTTCTTTGAAAATAAAAATGATTAGTGGCATATTAGGAGGGGGGGGGGGGGGGGGGGGGGG